TATTAATGGATGCTAGTTGTTCGATTCTGCTCGGAACTCCGAACTCAAATTACTGAATTTGTTCTTTAGATAGAGTACCTATTGAATATACATAAACTAGGTCAGTTTCAAAGTAATAATTATTGTGTTTTGTATAAGAACGATGCGGGTGATATTCCATAAGTACTGCTTATCGATACATATTTGAGTTAGACACAATGTGATGTTTGACACCAAACGCTTAACAAACAGCACTCAAACACGTTACTATTTTTTTTTTAAATTAATTATAATGTATGGTTAACTTTCTCTGTCCTAAGATGTAAGACACCTAACATACCTTTTTCAAGTTTACAACGCAAGCTGGACTGTCCAGACAGCTCAGACGGATAAGGTGCAAGCTTAGATGTATACTCTAAACCCATTATTAATAAAAAAGGCATAAGCTTAGACTAGTTACGCCGTGTTTAGAGACAAAAACAAAACATCGAGTAACTAATCCAAGCGTAGTCTTCGTTTATTAATAAGAGGGTAAGGGTGCAAGTAATAACAAATGACAATCTAACTCGATTACAAAAATACAAACCTCACGATGCACTCACTGACGTCAATTAAATTCAATACTATATTAGTCATACGTTAACCTACTCTATTACTACGGCTGAGAAAGAGACAAAATCAATTCAAAACAAATTTAAAAGTTAATCTAAAAAGTTGGCCTTTGAATGAGACTGTTACTCTTTTGAGAGCTATAACTACGGCTGGTATTAAACAGTAATCAGTATAAAGGTTTCGCCTTACAATTACAATAAGGTTTAATTAAGGACTCTGAAATGTTGATGAGATGTTAGGCTCTGTATTGCTTTTCCTTTCCCCAATTAAAAAGGGGTAAAACTTGTATTACCTACGCCTAGTTTTAATTTATTTTACTGCGTGATAATTGGTTGAGGATTGAACACAGTGAAAACAGTAATAAAATGAGATAATTAAAATTGAGATCAAAATATGTTTGTATAATTGAGGCAATTGGAAATTAATATAATAGAATATCAATGTTGGTACCCTAAGAGGTACACGGAAAGTAAATAAATAATGTAAATTATCAAAATTATTTGGAGAAGTGATTTTAAATAAGAGTGTGACCAAATATAATAACGGATTATCGCCTCCTTTTAAAATGTAAATCCTCGAATCAGTTATCTGTCAACCTTAAGCAGCATTGACCATATTTTGAATGCTAACACTATCTCATTAAAGTGACAATTGTTAAATTAAAACAACACAAAAATATTGATCTTTTTTTTTTCATCAGAGAGTAGAGATATCGTTAAATGTGTATAAGTCATTCAAGCAAGGATGTTTTAATTTAATATTGTTTAAATATTCATTATTCTGTTTACCCCTCTGGTTAACAGGTGATAACCAATAAATGCAACCATTTAATAATGATATAACGAACTTAAATAATAAGGCACAAACCTGGTCCTTGAAGCTAAGCATTAAATTTAATTGACGCTTCTTAGTACTACCGTTAAAAACTATTGACTAATTTAATTTTAAAAGCGGGTGTTAAAATTAGTCATTTGAAGGTGATGTTGCAATTTTTAATCTCTATTTTATTTTTATATTTACTGGAGTAATTTGAATTGATTGTAATGCATACAAAGCAAGCTTACATATTCATTAAATTCTCAATATGCAAAAAAGGTTTATCAGCCTCTTATTGTAAAGAATCACGCTGCGAGCTGTGAGTTGAATGTTAGATTAATTTGCGCGTCTAAGGACAATGGTTTTATTTATTAACACAATTGTTTATGTTTATTCAAAAGGATATTCTTGATCCAACATTCTCATAAATCAACATAAAGTTTTATAAAGATAATTTTGAAATAAGTTTTAAAAATGACAACAAGTCCTTTATTGTCTGTTGACAGTCTCCGTAGTAGAGTGGTATGTACGCCGTTTTCCAAGGTGTTGCCTACTTGGAATTCCCGAGTTCTAATCCGATCCGATTCAAAAATGTTTGTTTGATGAATACATGCGTTTTTGCCTCGAGTCATGGCTATTAATATACACCGTGAATTTTGAGTTACCTGAGAAACTTAAAAATTGGCGCAATTTAAGTAGGCTGACTCATATTTACGACATTTGAAAATTAAAATTAAATAAAATTCTAACAGGTAGGTAAATCAAGCGACAAGCTCTTATATTATAGAAATTGTGTAATGACGTTGTAAGTTGATAGTAAAAGTTTTTAAGGAAAATATTATTTGATTCTTTTAGCGTTTTTAAATAAAAACTTGTTTTCAACAAGTTAACTACTGTTATGATTTTTATTTTTTAAGCATGTAACTGCTTGATGTTTTAATCTAAAGAAAATATAACTTGCAAAAAATCCACGCGGACCAGGCAGCAGACGGGACCCGCACCCTCCGCTATCCGGGCGAATGCACTGACCAATTATGCTACCGAAATTCTTCTAGCCATTCTTAAGCTGCAAGGCAGCGCCATCTCTTCGCATTGTAGGTAACCCACAATTTCATTTCGACTTTATTTAGAATGACGTCATGCAGTCAACCATGCATTGTCATCCAAACTAAACGTCTGTACAAAATTTCAGCTTAATCTAATAAAGATATCTGCCTCAAAATTGAGTTGCAAGATAACACTCGATAAAAATATGTACATACATACATTGCAAGTTACATAAAAGCTTTTAAGAAATGGTGCGTGCAGTTATAAATGGCAAATGTACTACACCCCTTTACAAAAATGTAGATTTACATCGCTTACAAAATATCCTAAAACGGTGCAAATATGTAAATAGCGTTCCTATTTTTCAATTATTATCTATTAAAAGTACTTAGATACTAAAAAGATTTAGTTGAATCAATTTATGACAATTTAAAATGTTAAGGTTTAATTGCACAATTTCTGAATTGAGTTGGTCATTTTTTGAAGTAACTTAAAATTCACGGCGAATACAATATTTCTACAAAAATATACTCTTTCTGCATATCCTTACAATGCCTTACAATGCTTACTTTGAGGATACAGACAGAAATGGGCTAATCCAATAACGAACTAAGCTAATAAGTGTGTGTGAGTGTAAGGAATATTTATATGCCATCAAACCAATATTATACATATAAATTGTAATATGTCTGTGAATATCATAGTCATTTGCTTTATGAACAAAATAAACCATAAAGGAATGCTTTCTGGTTCAGTTTTTATTCTGATGACTGCAAATAATAAAACTATACAAAAAGTCATCACTTGTTATATTCCAAAGCAGGTTCTTTCGAATGAAATAAGAGCAAATAAACTAGAGTTGATAAACAAGAACACTGAACCAGTATTTGTACCGTGAGGCTTATTTTTTCTCATAAAAATCTTGATCCATGTTTTTTTATCCTGTTTTGTACGTCTAAATGTCTGTTTTTTACAGGACCGATGATTAAATATAATTGTTTATGTGTGCTCTTTGTTAAACGTTAAGCTTAAGTTAAGCTGACCCAGCGAACTTAAAAAACTATTTTTTAGGGCGGTACGAAGTTCGCTGGGTTCCGGGTACGAACCTCTATAGGTTGTCCAGCGGACAAAATTGTGAATCTAAACCATTCTCAGATCCCCTTGAACACACACAAAAAATTTCATCAAAATCGGTCCAGTCGTTTAAGAGAAGTTCAGTGACATACACACTCACAGAAGAATTATATATATAAAGATTAAAGAACTGTTTCTTATTAATTTGGAAGAGTATCGTTATTCTTAAGTATGTACATAAAATTATTGGTACTGTTACCAAATCATTTGTAAAAATCGAAATAGTGAAATCTAGTTAAGATTTATTTACGGTTCCGTAATTTAACGTTTTCAGTATTTTTAATTTAACAGCTTTATGTATATGAAAATTTACAATAAATAATAAGGTAAAAACAAAAAAAATACTTGGTAGTTTTAAAACTTGTACCAGTGTGCGGAACCGTTTGTGTGCGAATTCGACTCCCACTTGACCAGTTTTTGAAAATAGCACAACGATATATTTATAATAATATAACATATATCTATAATTATAAACATCAAATTCAAAGTTAGATTATGATTATGATTAAACCATTATTAATTTGAATGAAATTTTTGGGGCGATCCAAGGTATAAATTATAATTCAAAAGCGCAATTTATATGACGCAATTACCCACCCGTCTTAGATCTAATCATCTATAATGAGCAGCATTATACATTTTTTAATTGCCTTTGTCTCACTAACGATCTAAAGACAGAATGTAAGATTATTAAATACATATGTACTTGAAATCAAATATTGCCATGTTATGTAGATGAACTATTTTATACAGTTTTAAATGACAAAATTTTTCTACTGGATCAGAATTGAACTTTATCGGCTCCAAGATCCCGGGTTCTTATTTTCATGTTTAATATCAATCTTGGCAATTAAATCCTTTTTGTATTATAAATTCAATATTCAAATATGAACTTTGCTTAGATAAGAACTAAAACCGCTGTGTAACGATGATGATGGATAAAATTATTATAATTCACCACCTTGATGGAGTCATTTGTTTGGCCTCGTAAAAAGTATATTATGCTTTTATTCTGTTGAGTAAGAAGCACATCACATTTTTTTGGGTTATTACTAAATCTGCGCCCTCACTCCTCGTTTAGTCAACCTTGTTACGTTTGTGAGATGCTGCGATTGCGTGCAATTTCATAATTGAGGTGGCAATTGTTCTAACTTTGTCCGCATTTTATTTCTAAAATATTTAAACTAAATGTCTGGTTCTCAAAGCCAAGTTACTTGAGTTTTTAATCAATATTTTAATATTTTATTTCATAATTATATGCAGATTTTAATAAAAGAGAACTTTACATTGAATTAAATTTAAATTTATATTAAATATGAATATATCTTAACTTTTTTATTGATGCTGGTAAATTTTAATTAAAAACTACAAAAGATTAAAATTAAAATATTGCTATAAAATAATTTACTTACTCGTTTATAAGGCTGCTTTGGAAACGAAAAAAAAACAGGCACAAATTTATTACGATGGAAATAAAAAAAGATATTTTATTGTTTTGAAATTACACCGAAACGTTTAATAATCACGACCAAAGCGAATTCAAATTTTGACGGATAACTGACACGTAGAGCCGCGTGCGCAACCGAAGGCTTCTCGCAAAAAACTAACAGTGTTTGTGAAGCAAAGACCATTATGCCATTCTCTTCCATTAGGCTCAATTTATACCGCCGCGGAATAGGAATTGAGGCTAATTTTGGCAACGAAAATGTGCATAGCATAGTTAACTTTAGTGAGTTGAAGCGCGACAATTTTTTAGGCTCGTATTTAATAAATAAATATTTCCAACACTTACACCAATTAGCCTAGCCCCAAAGTAAGTACTTTAAGGCTTGTGTTAAAGGGTACTAGGGTAACGGATAGAATACATATACTGTACGTATATAAGTATATTTTTATAGAAATACATGTTAAACATAATGCTCGTCGTATTCATCATCTGCACCCACCGGGATTCGAACCCGGGACTTCTCGAGTCGGCGGCACCATGAAACCCGGCGTACAAACCACTCGGCCACGGTGGTAGTATTTTTTTTAAATTTTTTTATGTTGTACAATGAACATAAAGTTCATTATGCTTTGCACAATTTCGTAGCGAAAATTTGATTTCATTCATTCCGCAGCAGTATAAATTGAACCTTACCAGCTGGCGTCAATGTGACCGGTTAGCAAACCTCAGTCACACCGCATTTTGGAATTACACAAAGGTCTACGCATGCTAGGGTCATTTAAAAATAGCATACGTGAAAACCGAACATTAACAAATTAGGTTTTTTTGTTTGGCCCGAGATCTACTTAACACTTTATTGTTGCATATACCTACCAATAGAAACGTCAATTAAATTTGATTGTTTATCCAAGTGAAGCTTTGTCTTATTCTATTGCCATTACAATGGACGTGACCGCATCAGCTTTAATGATACTAAAAGATAAATTGACGTCTCTGAGTATGTCTATTAAAGAAGAATACATATTTAATGGTTAGGTAAATGATTCAAAGGGATTTGTTCTTAACTTTTTTGCAATGGCTATGCATTCATTTATCTTATCTAATATATAAAATTCTCTTGTCACGGTGTGCGTAATTGAACTACTTCGAAACGGCTTGACCGATTTTCATGAAATTTTATATGCATATTTAGTAGGTCTGAGAATCGGACAACATCTATTTTTCATCCCCCTAAATGTTAAGGGTGGTCCGCCTTTAATTTTTTTTTCGACAAAGGACAATGGGCGGAAGTGTATGGAGCCTGGAACACGGCCCAATAGCCATAATATGTATAGCATTGGAAAGGTCATTTTACAAGGACTAAGGATAACTGTCGCTTGTCTCCATTTGCTGTCAGAAAAAAAAATATATACTTTATATATATTTTGGTTTTGTTTGTTTTTTCAAAAGATAATAGTGGTATTATATCGTTATCTTGTATGGAATTATGTGTCTATTAAATGCACTAAAATGAATAAAGATTCAGGAATTTAAAAAAAATAGATAAGTGAGAAACGTTATTTATTTTTTAATCATTATCCATAATCACATCGTTGAGGAACGCTGCAGGAGCAGTGAAGCCTTCATGTCTGGCATATCCACACGATGGAAACTATACGAGGAAAAGTGCCGATTGTTCGTCGTCCGGTCAAACACGTAATGTTATGGATATTGGTTTGGTTTTCATTAACAATGTTTTTACCAATATATAACAATAATAAGTTTTTGATCGAACGTGACGTGACCTGTATGCGTCCGCGTAAAAGCCAAGTATCTTCGTTTATGCCATATTCAATTATATCTCCGAGTGCGCTTTCTCTATATATTTCTAAAATGTATAATCTATTTGACAAATGCTTGCTGCAGTAGGATCGTGCTAGCTTTAGCTGGTAGGTGCCTAAAGAAAGTAAAAGAATCTGTTCTTCCGTCAGTAGTGGGAAGTTATGTATGTCTTGACTAACTATTCTTTGAAAATCCGCTCTTCGATTATTTAAACGTTTTCTTTCTACATAATCATAAAGTATATTTGGGGAATCAATTTTTTCCCCTGATTATGTTTAGGAAGCCCTCTGCGTGAGTGTTGTCATCGATGGGTATGTGGAAGTTATTTATCATAGCTACGGCGATTTTAAAATCAATAAATATTTTCGGTAGTGTTTTATTAAAGTATTATTGCCGCAAAAGCTTAAAATCTCTCTTGAACCTCCCGTTCACCACTTCCACTACCTACCGGCATATTGTAACTGATCCAGCTTCATTACTTTGGTCAGTAGTTAACTGCGTCTCCCATCTGTATTTATATGGTGGAACATAGGCTTCATATCCACTTGCTTCCATAGCATCTAAGCTGTCCCGGAAGCCGCGATTAAATATAAAAACATTGTTTGGTTGAAGAAAGCAATGTAATGGGTTTTCTCCATCAGTCATTATGTCTATTTCTTCCTATTACATTTATAGTATTTTGTATATTTCTTCGTAAATTATTACAGCTACTTTACAATAAATATGTTCTCTTTGAAAACAACAGCGAAATATTTAATCAATTTTCTCGACATATTGAACAAAATCATCATTAGGAAGTTAAAAAAAAATATAAACGCCGGTTTTGAAGAAGTCGAATTTAAGCAGCCCTATACTGCGCAATACGGTTGTACGCATGTTTAAAAAGTCCGCGGACAGCTCACGAATTACGATTAAAAAAGAGTGACCGCTCGTCTAAATGCAGCACACGAGACTAACTGTCCTCCGAGAACCCCCGAGCGGTCGCGTCTGTGGGCGTGTGTCATTTCGAGAGTTTGTGTCTTCTCTTAAGTTTATTTAAAGTAACTTCCTTATAGGCGAAGAGCCACCAATCCTGAAAGCTCCGTGATCACGGATTCTAATATTTTTAATAAAAAATAAAAGTTAACGTTTAGACGAACAAGATTTGCTTGGTCGGCGTTTATTTGATTGGCCGGAAATATTTTAATTAAATTATTTATTATTAAATTTCCATAATTTTTTTCCGTCATCACGGATTTTGATCAATCTTATAAAGAATTTTGTGTGAAATATTATGTTCAACAAGAAAAAATCCGGCCGACCAATGTTTTTATTTTTAGTCGAAAAGGTCATGCATACCTATTCGAATGGTGTGATAATTTCACATTTATAATTATCTTGGTATGCGTGCTTACAAACTGCCGAAAGTATCGCGCATACCAAAATTTGACTCTTCGCTTTTTAACGGTTTCTATATTTCTGTAAAGAGTGAGTGAGACAGATTTTTGGTTCAAGTTGAAACCTTAACATTTACCTGCCTCAAAGATACACAATACCGTAAAGTGAGATATTCTACGACAGGGCTGCATAGTGTTAACTCTCTTACTCCGGTTTCTTTTCAAGTCCATAAGACTGCTCCAAGAGTAAGTGAGATAAGAGTAACATCGAATTTATGTTAAAGTTCCATAGGTCTTTCTCTCTTACTCCGAAAAGGTCACAGCATACCTACGTTGTCCTACAGCATTTTGGGGGTTCAGCTCATTTCGACATTTCAGTCTGCTGTTTTCCTGTCAAAAGTGTCGTTATTTTGTATAGCTTACTACGCATCAGCATTCTAAACATATTTATTAATTTAACAAAATTTACTATTGAATATTTAAGAAAAACATTTTTTTGGATTTGTAATTATTTAAAATTGTCAAACAGATATTGATTTTTTGGTGATATTGTGTCCGTTTTAGTGATATAGTAACAATTGATTCAGTGTACTGTTGCGTTATAAAAGAACATTTAAAGCACTAGATCCAATCTCAGCGTTTCATCATCATCATCATCATCATCAGCCTATTAATGTACCCACTGCTGGGGCACAGGCCTTCCCTATGGATGGGATAGGGAGATTGGGCCATGACCCACCACACGGGCCCAGTGCGGATTGGTGGGTGCTAACGACTGCAGATGCAACCGGGACTAACGGCTTATCGTGCCTTCCGAAGCACGGAGGAGCTCGAGATAGTAAATTTTTGGTCACCCAGCCAATGACCGACCACTGCGAAAGTTGCTTAACTTCAACGATCGCAGCCGAATGCGCTAACCAGTTGCGCCATCGAGCTCCTCGTTTCATCATAACAATTTAAATATTAAGTGTTTTATGTGTAATACATATAAAACACTTCATATTCATACATCAACTAAAGAGAAAATTACTCGGTTTTCTGGAAGGGAAGACGCTTTTAAAAAAATGTAAAAATGTGCTGAGTTTCCGGCAATTAAAAAAAATAGTATCAAGATTTCAGCTTAAATTCCGATGATTTGAACGACAATGGTTGTCATCTCACATTATATATATTTACATTCAGGTAATTTTCTATATAATTTATTTTATAATCAACCCAAATTTTTTTTTCTGTATTCCCTGTTTTCCATATTAATTAGTATAATAAATAGTTAAAAATTTAAGGAAGAGACCAGAGGTAGAAGAGAGACTCTAAAAGAAATGTCTTCAAGTAAGTGAAGTCTATAACAGTATAATCCTCACTCACACAATAAAATTTGGTATGCGCGATACTTTCGGCAGTTTGTAAGCACGCATACCAAGATATTTATAAAAGTGACATCAAAACGCGTGAATTAAAAAAAAAGGTTTTCGTGATAATGGATAAATTTTACCGCGTGACCATTCCGGCTAAAAATCATTGGTCGGTCGGATTTTTTCTTGTTGAACATAATATTTCTCACAAAATTCTATATAAGATTGATCAAAATCCGTGATGACGAAAAAAAATGGTAATTTAATAATAAATAATTTAAATCTAAAGAAAAGTTTACCGCGCCGAAAGAACGCGGCGAATAGGGCCGTGGTAGCATAATGGTCAGTCATTCGCCCGGATTGCGAAGGGTGCGGGTTCGATACCCGTCCGCTGCCTGGTCCGCGTGGTTTTTTTTTCTAGTAAATTTTTCTTTAGATTTAAACATCTAGCAGTTAAATGCTTAAAAATAAATAAAAACATAACTATAAATAATTTAATTAAAATATTTCCGGCCAATCAAATCCACGCCGACCAAGCAAATCTTGTTCGTCTAAACGTTAACTTTTATTTTTTATTAAAAATATTAGAATCCGTGATCACGGAGCTTTCAGGATTGGTGGCTCCCGGACTAGTAGGTATATGTGTCATAGGTGCCAATTGCTTAGCAATCGTT